CTGAGCGGGCGGGCGGCGGGGGGCACTTTTTAGGCGGCCCCGTGACATTTGCATAACAATGGCCCAGGCCCGGCCCTCCCCACCCTCTCGGGAGCCCATTGGCCGCCGCCTGGCGAGGGCGGGACGGCAGAGCCCCGCCTTCCCTGCGCACGGCCCGAGGTGTGTGTGTCTGTGTGTCGTGGGGGGGGGGGGCTTCCCAGGGTCGGCCGCGCTCTGTCTTCGCTCGCATTGCGGCAGCCAGAGGGGCCAGGAGAGCACCGGGGGTCGCCCTGCCAGTCTTGGCCTGCGAGAGCTCCTCTTCCAGCCCGGGTCGAGAGGAAAAGGGGGGCTGTTGCTGCCCCCCAGGGGCAGGGAAAGAATGGGCAGATGCAGCCCAGGAGGGGTTTGGGCTCAGGAGGAGCAGAACCCCCATTTCCCAATTCTTCCCTCCCTCCTCCTCCTCGGGAAAAGACCCAGGCCCTCACATCAGCCCAACTCCTGAGTAAAAGGAGCCAGCTGACAAGGCACCCCTTTCCCAAAACAGCTCCTGCACTTTTAAAACAAGCTTGTGAGGCAGAAATTCAACAGGGGTTGCTACCATCCCTCTTACTTTCTGCTCAGAAAATGCTTGCCTGGCTGCTCCTGTTAACTCTGAAAAGGCAGAGCCTTTGGTGAAAAGAAACCCTGTGAAGTCCGAGGGGCTGAAGCAGCTGCCCCCCCCCCGACCCTCGGTAGCTTTCAGACCCCACAGATCTCCCAGATGCCCCTCCTGCCTCGCTCTCTCTGGAGGGCTCCCCGTTGGGCATCCCACCGACTCCAACAAAATACACGACTCCAACAAAATAAACTACAGCACAATTCCCTGGCTCAAGAAACAACTAATAAACTGGCTTGTTTGAAGGGCCCGGTAACTCACCTGTTTGCTCTGCCCCAAAGGAACAAGCAAGTGACTGTCAGGTTCGCTCCCTGCCTGCCGTTGCTGTCCTCGGGTCCCAGCGGAAGGATCCAGGGCATCCTGGAAGACCAAGCAGGCCCAAGTAACGTCAACGGTCTGGCTTAAATTCTAGGCAACAAACCTGGGGGCTTGGGTGGAAGGGACAGCACAACCTCAGCTCCCTCCTTGGTCCAGACAACTGCTAGAAATGCCAGCAAACCCACTGGAAAGATCTTCCAGAAAAGGTTCCTCTGCCGTCCCCAGTTGTTGCTTTAGAACACAAAATGTGAGCGCACTTTTCTTGTGGTTTCCAAGGGCTGCTATTGGCAATTTTGGCAGAAAAATAGCAAGTAAAGGCTTTGTGATGGGGTGCAAAAAACCAGCCCCCCAGGGCCTCTACCTCTTCCTCCTGCTCCCCTGGTGGAGACCCTGGGAGAGGCTAGAGGGGGAGAGGTGGGGTGCAGGAGCCCCCTTGGTTCCAGGCGGTCTGTGGGTCCCTGCCTGCTTCAGAAAGAGGCCTCTTTTCTGTGAGTGCCGCCATAGGGCCTGCTCCCCAAAGGGAGGACTCAGTTTACATGGGGCAGGAGGAGGCAGGGGGCCCTTATCAGGAAGCAGATCTATTGAAAAGATTGCTGGGCAAACAAAAGGCAGAAGCCGCAGCAGCCAAGCCCACAAAGGAACTGCTGACTCAATCAATTTCAGGGGGGAAGAGGAAGAAAACTGAAAGTGGAACAGGGGGGGGGGGAGAGAGAGGGGGCAACCGGGGCGTGAGAAAAAACCCAGGCACTGGCCAGGCGAGGGGACTTGGGGGGGTTTCCGTCCCAAGGAGCCCTTAGAACAAGATGAAAGGAGCCTGGACTCTCCAGAGAGAGCCGTTCAGGGCAAGGACCGGCAGGACCACCTCTGCCTCCGAGCGAGAGCCGCTTTTCTCCCTGCTCTCCTGCCTGAGGGGCGACCCAGCCACCCACCGCCAGGCAGCCAAGGAAGCTTTGGGGGCACTTTCTCAGGCGGGGCTTGTGGGGGGGGGGCTGAGGAGGGGGAGGGGCTGGAGCCACCTTGTTCTTCGCATGAATATCAATCAGGGCTGGCAGGAAAGTAGCGCCCCCCCACCCACCCGCCCTCCAGTCCTGAGTTTCGGGGCAGCAAAGCCCCCCTCCCCAATCATTCCGGCCCCTCAGGGAGGGGGGTCCTTGGGTCAGGCTGGAGGGAGAAACGGAGGCCCTTCGCACAACAGCTCCAGTTGGGCCTGAGGCTGGGGAGCAAGCGGGGCAGACTCCTGCCCAGGCCCGGTGGGAAATGTGGCTCTTCCTTCGTTTTCAGCGGGTGGGAAGGGGGCCAGCTCCGCGGGGCGCCCTCCTCACACCTACCTGGGCGTGCAGAGTGGTGCTTGCCGCTTTGTGCCCGGGGGGAGCCTCTCCTCTCCTCGCCCGGAGCGGCGGCCTTGGGAGCGCGCCCGAGGGGGGCCCGTGAGGGGGGCGCGGAGCCGGGGCGACCCTCCCCTCCCCCCCTCCCCATGAGCGACGCGGTCCGAGGCGGGCGGCCCTCCTTGCAGGCGGGGGCGGGGCCTGTCGGCGGGGGCGGGGCCGGCGCGGCCTCATTACCGTGAACCCGGGAGCGTGGGAAAGTCTTGCGCCTTTCTTCCCAGCCGCGGGGGGGGCGGGGCCGGAGGGGCGGGGCGCGCGCGCGCACGCGGGACTCGCGGGGGGGAGGGGGAGATGGCGCGCCCGATTACAGCTCGCTGCGGAGAAACGCCGCCGGCATCTCCGCCGAGATCTCAGGCGGAGAAGTGCAGTTTCGCTTCTGCCCGCAGCGAGCGAGCCCCGTGCAGAGGCGACGGCGAGAAAGCAGCCCCGGCGGCGGAGACCGAGGGAGGGAAGGGTCCTCGTCCGTCTGGAGGGGCAAGCGGGGCCAAGGGAGAGCCACCCTGGCAGGGACGCCGACTGAGGGCTTTTGCGGGGGAATTCTTGGCCGGCCCTCTGCAGGGCGCATCCTGCCAACTGATCTCTCCTGGGCAAAGGGGCACCGTGAGGGGCACAATCGAGGCCCTCTATCCTCATCGTCCACTCTTCGCAAATGAGAAGTGCACAATTTCTGCCGGTCTTTGATGTCGCTTTTGTCCCTTTCTCCAAATGCCACTCAAGGCCAACCTTCCAGGCCTCCTTTCGTGCCCAAGGAAAGCTGGTGCCCAATTCCTGGGCACCAGGGCCAGCTGTGTTCTGCCTCCTCTCCCCCTGCGGGATCCCACCTGCAGCGGTGGTACTCCAAACCTTGGAGGGTCCTTTTATTACCAGGGGACGCGATGCCTCTCTGGGCACCTCCGGCCTTGTGGGGGAGGAGCGGGGCCCTCTTGGAATCCGGAGCTGCTTTTTTGGGGGGGGAGGGCTGGCGGACTGTGCCAAGAGGCCTGGCCACCTCCCTCCTGCGGATGCCAAAGGCCGGAAGGGTCGACGTCCACTGGAATCGAGCGAGCTTCTCTCGAGATGCTCAGAAACCGCTTCCTGCCCTTTGGCTGGCTGCCTTGGGGACAGGACGAGGGAGGGAAATGAAACTTCCTTCCGGAATTACGGATCTCCTGTGCCAGGAGAGCAAACCAGGCCCCCAGCATAACTTCCCCACCGGGAGATGGATGGGCCTTTGGCCTCCTGCAAGGGCTGCTCTCAAGGGCACCTTGAGTTCCTTGGGAATATCCGAGCGAGCCTTCATCCTTGGCAGAAGTGTAACTTTAAACATCCGATGCTTAAAAGTAGAAAAGGCCTCTTCCTAAAGCTGGTTCTTGGTGAGCAAAATGTGGTTGGAAAGAAGTAACACAGAGAAGCAAAACTCCATCGCTTAAGTAGCACTGTTGTTTATTGTCCTATAAACTGCAGCTGAACATCTGAATGTGTAAAAATTCATATTTTGCTTGCACAAATCTACCACCCCCGGCAACGTTTACACCATGACCCAAAGTGGTGAGATCTGTTTGTCCCGCCCTGCAGAGGTCTTTGCTCTTCTGTGAAGCGAGGGGGGTGCGGCTCTTTGGGGGCAGGGGGGACAGAGCCAAAAAAGCGCCTGGAGGAGAGAGCGAGCGCGCTGTCCTCCAGGCTGAAGGTCCAGATTCCTCAACGCAGCCTAAAGGTCTCCCTGTGGAATCTCCTGGCAAAAGCTCAGAGGAGAAATGGGCCAGCAAAGAAGGGGCAAGAGGAGGGGAGGGGGGGTGGGCTGGCTGGGATCAAGGGAGACATTTCTTGCCAGGGCCTCTTATCTCCAGAGAAACAGCGACCGGGGGGGGGGGGGAGATACAGTTCTACAGCAAAGGCTCCAAGTTGCACTGTGCAGATGGGTGTTGTTGGTGTGTGTTGTGGAAGCCCCCAACCCACAAGAGAACATTTGGTCCTGGGATCTAGGATGCAAATGCTGCTACCAATCCATCTCACCCTAGAGGCCGGGGGGGGGGAGGGGGGGCTGGTCTGATGGCCAAAACAGCCCCGGAATAGAGGCCGAAAACCCTTCCAAAGATCCCTCTGAGAAGGGGGTGGCCTGCCAACATGCCCTCCTGCCGTGAGGGAAGCTCCTGGGGGCCCCCAGGGTCACCCGCTTCCCTGGGTTCCACCACAAAACCGCACTCGACTAAACCGTGTTCGACTAAATCGCGTCACTGACGTCATCAACAGGGCGACAACAACCCTAACCCTAACCCTAACCCACGCTGTAAACCCTAAACCTAAAATTAACCCCTAAACCTAATCCTAAACCTAAACCTAACCCTTAACCTAACCCTAACCCTTAACCTAACCCTAAC